GCCATGAAAAATTCCGATTTTTACAACACTGAGGTCGTAGCCTGACGTATTCATGGGATAAGATAGCAGCCAACGTAATAAAAAGTTGCAAAATACTTGTGACTACTTCAAACTGACTTTTGACCAGACCTAGACGAACGAATGGTACTCTGCAGTTGTTCGTAAATGCTTCGAACCGCGGAGCTGAGAATGCAGGTGATTGTGCATAACACCTCAGTGATCTAGACTCGTTCAATAGATGCTCATAAATAGTAGTGAATCTGAACTGATACTGAAGGGCATGGTTATGCGTTTTGTGCATTGATAAGTTGCTGTAATAGGAATCGACGAAGGGCTAAGAATCGCAGCTGTCATGATTGGATATCGTTGAGCATAACAGAGCCACTATCAAGACAATTTCATAGCCGTTGCTTACAAATCACTGCTTGATCGTATTTGTGGCTTTTGTCAGAGCTGAATGCGGTAAGAAACGAAGATGAACAAACGATGAATCAATTCAGAAATATTTATTCGGGCATTGAACTGAAGCATTTCAAAAATTCAGCGCTCAGAAAATGGAATAAAACAACACATCATATCACAGTGTTATAATTGCGTACAGAAACTTGTGCTTGAAATAGCAAAATGCGAAAGAACTTCAATGATTTTCACTATTTCATTTGAAGCAATCAAGAATGAAACAGCTTCGGCGCAATCCTTCTTCACATACATACTGAACAAGTTAAATTTCATGATCTTGTGAGTATATTTACTTTGACATAAATGAATGAATTGAAGACAACTTTACAAAAACGTAGTATACTAGTAGATAGCAACAATGCAACTTCGTGGTGCGTAAATTGTCAGCATTCACAATTTAATACGAGCGAGCATCCATCGATCAATCAATACGTAGCAAAAGCTCGCAAAAACACAACCGCCGATTTAAGCAAATATAAAAACAAGTCTGAACACTATTAATCCAGAAAGGAATTCTCTTGCAAAAGAAATGTCATGATATCAGACACAGAAAATCTGATCGGATGCAAAACTTGTTCGATCAGATTTTGAACTGAGAATGGATTTTACCCTGATTAAGTTCACACACAAAATAAAGATCAAAATTGCGATAGAATCTAAAATCACCGAACCAAAACACTCATACATCGTAGAATCAATACTGGCAAAGCATTTGTGAAGATCTGCAATGGGATTGTCGATTCTTTGAACGAATCGATGCCAATCAAGAAGCGAATCAAACAAAACAATAAACAAAATGTAACGAATTGAAGTTGCTAAAAGCGTGAAAAACACCAACAAAATTAGATCAGTCATAATAAAGCGCGCGGAATAACGGCTAATTAAAATGCGACTGTAGAAAGAAACCATCAGTTACTAATCGTAGTGCTCGTGTATTCAATGAATTCATCGTTTTACCGATTCGAATGGTAAGGAAGAAACCCATATATAGGTATTCAGATTTTCAACGTTACCCAATCAACTCAGCCAAGAAATCGAAAAATTTTGGTACGTCTGATTACAGGCCAAACAGATATCGCATGCTCTAGAGCACACCTTCATTGTTAAGCACATTAATGTTTTCAAGCCGATATCATCGACGTTTGAAGTGGAAAATAAATTGCGGTTTGTAGATTTCTGTATCATTCGATGTATCTGAACGCAAATAAACTCATTAGAATTTTTTCTTGGGTTTTGCTCTCGAATGATGTCATTATCGACATTTGATAATAATCAAGCATATTTAGCAATACGAACATGTAAGCATATGTAAAATAAACAATCTCAATCAAGTATCCAGCGATGCCGTTTAGTTCACTACTACTTGACCACATTCATAATTGAATACTTCGAGTGTAATCGTATTCGATTGTTGGTATCACCGCCTACAAATATTCAGTTCATTAAAAACTTTTTCAGTTATATACTCCGATTACTTCTCTCACAAAATCACTAAACATGAAAAACGATGAAA